GCCAAGCCGCTAGGGTCGGGGGGAGGTCACAGGGGGGACGTGACCTCTGGTTGACCCGCGAGCCGCTCCACCCCTCCCCCACCCTAGAGGGAGCCTTCTGCCCGCGGGCCCCGCCCGGCGGGCCTCCCAAGGGTGCGGCCCTGCGAGCGAACAGAACGCGTGGTGTGTCGTTGAGGCCGTGAGGATGCGACTGAGGCCCCTGCCCAGGCCTGGAAGACTCTGGCGGCGGAGGCCCCGCCCCTTGCCCCTTCCCCCGCCCCCGTGCGTGCCTGCCCCCGCGCTCTGGTGATTCTCGAATATTCCAGACCCTCGTCCAGCAAAAGGCTACGACTCCCCCGCAGAGGCTCAGCGGCTGGCTGGCACGTTTCAGCAAGCAAGTGCTTTCCGCTGAGATTGGGCCTCTGACTCGAGGGAGGACGGACGGGCCAATCGTCTCTGGACGTTTCCGTGAAGCCAAGACGGAGGGTGCCGAGCTGCCCCTCCCCCGGGGGCTTGGGTTTGCAGGGGAGACGGTAGGCGCACCTGCCGGGAGCAAAGGGTCAGACCTCGGGCCCAGGACCCAGAGGGAGGAAGAAGGCTAAGGAGACGATTGAGAAAAGAGAGCTGGGAAAGGGGGCCTCCTGCACGGTTGGTGGGGATGCAGACGGGTGCAGCCGCTGCGGACACCAGCGCGGAGGCCCTTAGAAACTGAAGACAGAGCTGCCATGGGATCGTGCAGTGCCACTCCCGGGCGTGCCTCTGGAGAAGACTCTAATTCGAAAAGATGCGCGCACCCCAGCGTTCATGGCGCGCGGTCCTGTTCGCAGTAGCCAAGACGTGGAAGCCGCCTAAGTGTCCATCGACAGAGGACTGGATCAAGAAGGTGTGGTGCATACCTGCGGCGGGATACTGCGCAGCCTTAAAGAAAAATGAAATATTGCCATTTGCAGCAACATGGGTGGACCTAGAGAATATTACACTTAGTGCAGTAAGTCAGAGAAAGACAGATATTATATGATGTCACTTACATGTGGAATCTAAAAGTTAATACAAATGAATCTATATACAAAACAGAAACAGACTCACAGGCATAAAAAACAAGCTTACGATTACCGAAGGGAGAAGGAAGGGGCAGAGGGATAAGTTAGGAGTATGAGCTGTTTGTTTGGATGAGTGGTTTGTGGGCTCTTAGTTCCCCAGCCAGGATGGAACCCAGGCCCTCAGCAGTGAAAGCGCCAAGCCCTAGCCACTGGGCCGCCAGGGAACTCCCAGCAATACAGGATTAACAGATACACATTACTATTTGTAAACTAGATAAGCAACAAGCATTTACTGTAGAGCACAGGGAACTGTATTCAATATCTTGTAATAACCAATAATGGGAAAGAATCAAAAAAAAAAAAAAT